CGGTGGACTCCTTGATGCGAGAGCTGCAGCAAAGCACGATGCTGGCGATGGTGCCATAGCCAAAAGCCTAGCCATGAGTGACGATCTTCTGAGCTCGACAATTGAAAGTACGTAGTTTTCGGCCTAGTACAACTGAACGGAAAGAGACGGAGACTTTGCTTGCTGTGCTTGAGCTTAGGGCTCGAAGTTCAGCATTTCCGATGCTGGGTTTTAGGGTTTGTGGATAAAGTTCTGCGCCCAGCCACCAGGTAGAAGGGCTTCAAGAAAATCTTGCAAGAGACTCATGCCGGTACCTCAGTGCAGTTCGGCATATTATGCTTTTTGTCTTGATGGCGATGCGTGTCAGCAACAGAGCCATGCCACCGCGCTCAAGTCTTTCCTATGTTACGTGTCTTCCCACCTCCGCCCTGAGCGCTCGCCCCGAACTGCGCACGCTTCATTCAGACAACGAAGCAAGCGGCTCCTGCAGAAGATTGACATCAGCATGGACCGACGATTAAGTGCGGTAGCGACGGAGGCTTTTTTCGCTCGGTGTGCAATTGACTTTTAATGATTCAATCGTTCCAATGCCAACACTGGACCACGGTTGGGATGCTATACTAAGGCCGGCACCCCTAGAAACCGGACATGCTGTATGCTCATGCGGAGACAAACAGAACTCGCCATGAGCTTGCGCAGCTTTGACTTTTGCTCCGAAACCCTTTCTTGTCCTCGTCGTAGCACCACAACTCCAGACCCTTTCCTGGCACCTTGTGATCCGAAGCCCTTGTAGTGCCAATGCCCCAGAAGTCTGGGCAAGGTGCTTTCGATCCACTTTCTGCCATCAGTGGCACTGACGTTGGCTAGGAAGACCAGGATGTAGGTGACGGCAAAGCCGCAGTAAAGAAGCCTGGGGAGGTGGAGAGCCCAAAGGATTGCATGCATACGTTCGCACACATCCGGCACTCAAGGCGATGCTGAAGTTCGAACTTACCATTCCACGTCAGCAGCCCTTCCTTTCCTTTTTGTGAAAAGCAGAGGAATCCACTCAACTCTCGGTCACAAAGCAGTGCTGCTTCCAATCGTACACTCAGCGAGCAAGCAATGGCAGAGCAAAGCCAGGCTGAGATCGTATCAGAGCTTATCACCGTTAGGCTAGGCAAGAGGCAACACGAGTACTACCCTAAGTACAAGCGGACCTTTTCCTGGACCTTGCGGGTGCAGGTCTTGAGCAGTCAAGCTGCAAGTGAAACAAAGTTGACATGAGCCTAGCAAGCAACCAAGGTGTACGTTTTCACAAGTCGGTGACGAATCACACCCCCCTCGACACGAACTCACGCGTGAGAGAAGCGGAGTATACGTAAAAGTCTCACACGACTCTGATCGTACATCGAGCCATACCTCTTCCGGACGCTTTCAAAGCTTGAAGCAAAGAGACCATTGGGCATGGGTCGACTCTTGGTGCTTGATCGTGTCTATGTTTCACGGTGAACACTGCAGCATGCTTGAGTTGCAGATCTGTAGCGATGCACATCAACCGCGATGCACCGGACAGGTCTGTTGCAATCAATCGGATTTGCGCTTTTGATCGACACGCTCGGAGCGGCGGCTCGGCAGCGTCGAGTGTCAGTGAAAAATGAGAGAGACACACGAGGAAAATACCATGGCTAGCCATTGCACCCCTGTGGGTCTTCTCAGCTTCGGCAAGGACAAAGGCATGCTGAGGAAGACGGCGGAAATGAGATCTAACCTTTGCTTCACCATCAGATCCGATGTGAACATTACCTCTGGTCGGTCAACAATGCTCACAAAAGGATCAACCGGATCCACTAGGCAAGACATCATACATCGCCGTGTGGTGATGATCGGTCGTAGCTATCGCAGGCGCCTTTATCGATGAAGCCCGCCTGGGGGACGAGTACGCGATTTCTCTTTGCCCTTTCCTCTGCCTGTTCCTTCATCATTTCGGCCTTTATCGCTGGCCGCTCGATCGGCATCTTTTCCTTTTCCTTTGCCTCCTTTCTCACCCTTGGACTTACCCTTTGTCTTTCCCTTCCCTTTCCGAGCAGGGCTTTCTCGAACGGCAGCATGGTCATCGATGAGTCCACTAGGGTTCGTAGGTCGCTGCGCATCTTGCGTTGATCGTGCAGCATTCGCCCGTGTGGGAGCAGTCCTAAATCCACCATACTGACTCTCCGAATCTGCGACTGAAGACTCAATCACAGATCCGCGGAAGAACTGAGTCGGTGCGGGTGATCGGCCACGACTATCGATAGAGGCCATCGGAATAGGCTCAGCGAGCTCCGGCACCCAATCTCGCCTTTGGTGTTTCTTCGGTTGGAGCGAAGCAGACCGATACCCCATCGCTTCCGTAGGCGCAGCCCATGATTCTGGAGACACGGGCCGTTGCTGTCCTCTGGTTGACACTGATCTGGCATCAACGACTTACATCACTGAGCGATCCATCGCCTTTGGGCGCTCCACCCCCAGAATCGTTGGGAGCAGCTGGGACGCCAGTGGTGCACCCAAATATGCGCATCGTATCGCGACAGCATTCGTTGCAGCAAACGAACCTGCACACCACACAGTTGCGACATTGGTAAGTGGGAAAATTTCCAAGCACCTCTCGCGCGCCGCTCGGGCGAATCGTTGGAGGGTCAAGGCCTCCATCAGCCGGCGGAGGATCATCGCCTCCTTGGTGGTCCTCCACCTGGCGGTCCGCCACCGCCAGGAGCTCGGTCTGGGCCGTTACTGCCGCTTGGGAAACCTCCACCATAAGCCCCACAGTCACCAAAGCCACCGCCTCTGCCGGGAGCTTGGTCGTGAAAGCTTGGGACACTCGAGGGCGCAGGAGCAGAAGTCCTGACGGGGCAATCGAAGGCCTGCCACCCAAGCTGATAGAGACGGGGATCGGGCCGCTCCATGGCCAAATCCAGCGCGGCCAAGCATGGCATCAGACCATCGTGGAATGAAGTGTCATTGGCAGGACGAGACTACGAATGAAGTACACCATCTTGTATTCTCGAACTTCAGTGGGTTATGTAAGTGAGAGTCAAGACCAAAGCTTCGAGAACTTCGAGTGCGGGTGGAGTGCTGAGCGTGTTGTTCTGCCTTGCATTGATTTTTGTCCGCGCTCGCTCTCTTAAGCAGGGCTTTGGTCGCATGGGTCGGACGGCTTTGTAGACTGTCGTCGGCTCCGTTCGGGTGTCGTAGGAATTCTGACACGGGAACGTGGGGACAGATCGAGGCTAAGGCGCAAACAGGCGCTCAGTCCTGACATACCGATCACACTGAGCAATGGGTCCGGCACCGTGCTCAGGTATGCGTGCCTCAGGAATCGCTTGAGGAACGCTAATAGGATTAGCGACTGGAGCTGCAGAAGTCCCTGCATTCGAGCTTGGTGTCGATCTTACGGCAGATGTCGCCGGAAGAACATTTGGAATCGAAATGTTGGGATCGGTTGCTCGACCCGAGAGAACACCAGACCTCTGACCAGGCGGATGAATGAGAATCTCGGCTCAGGGAGTCTGTCGTGATCGATTCGCTATCTTTCAGACGATCATCGACGAAAAGCCTTGATCTGCGAAAAATTTCCTCGGCAGTCAAGCTGCTCGTCTGAGACTGAGCAGTTGATGCCTTTGCGGCTGGGGCTGCATGACTGCCGGTCAATCGGTCCAAGAAGCGATGATCGAGGGATCGCAGAAGATCCACCGGGAAATAAAGACCCGGGAGGAGGAGGAACGGTGTCGGGTCTTGGGATGTAAGATCAGTATCGCTGATATCTTAGAATTGAGCACCATCGTGGCGAGATGGCGTGGATCGCTCGGAACGATGGGATCTGACCTCGCGGCGAATTTCATCCATCGCACGACCGGCAACACCCCCACGATGTGAGACAGCAGTCTCGAGGTGTCGAACTCTTGCAGCCAAATCATCGATAAAGGCATCAGACTTTGTCTTGTGATCATGGAGAAATCGACACATCTCGATTCGAATCGCTTCGATGCGACGGGTCGCATTTTGCTCAACGGTGCTGATTCGAGCCTCCCAGTTGGACGTACCAAGATACAATTGCTGCAGGCTGTCTGGAAATCGCTGAACCTCGCTAATGGCTCAGGACGGGCTTCTGCCCTCCTGCGGCGCAACAGGCCCGCATTCTTGCGGTGGTGGTGGCCCTGGTGTCCCGATTGCGGCACCGGGCTCAACCCACGCCTCCCTGGCCATCGATTTGGGCCGAGGGGCTGGCGCTTGATGCTCCCTCGATCCGGGACGCATTCGGTTCTGATGCAGCCCAGCGCATTTCCACCCTTTTGCAGGCAATTGCGCAGGGCGTGCTCGGTACCCGTGCTGATCTCGATGTCCTGAGGGAAGGGGTCGCTGACCTCGCCGGGCATCCCGAGCAACCGGCGTCACTATAGTGAAGAACCGACGGTCGAGGGAACACGCGAGAACCAATCGGAGTCATCGTCAATCAGTAGCGCAACTTGGCACGAGTCCGAACGGGGCAAGGGGCGCCAGGATAACGGCTGTTTCAGTGGCTAATCGGAGAGATGATCCGAGTGCCTGGGCGGCAGCAGCAAGCAGAGATGCAAAATCGGAAACAAGAGGTCCTACGGCTGATCACCTGTGAAAAGCACAGGAATCCACTTGACTCTCGGTCACAAAGCAGTCGTGCTTCCAATCGTACACTCAGCGAGCAAGCAATGGCAGAGCAAAGCAATGATGAGATCGTATCAGAGCTTATCACCGTTAGGCTAACTGCAAAGGCAAGAGGCAACACGAGTACTACCCTAAGTACAAGCGGACCTTTTCCTGGACCTTGCGGGTGCAGGTCTTGAGCAGTCAAGCTGCAAGTGAAACAAAGTTGACATGAGCCTAGCAAGCAACCAACGTGTACGTTTTCACAAGTCGGTGACAAATCACACTTTTTCTCTGCCGGCGTCGGCCAAAAGTGTCGGCACTCACTCTCGGACTGGGTGTGCAGGATCACTGCATCAGGATGCCTAACAACAACCTCACCCTCAACGCAGCAAAGCCCTGGCAGGGCCAACTGCAAGCACGAGGGGATCCAGATCTTCGCGACGTGAGCGAGACGGTCTTACTCGGCTTGGCCGCCCAAGAGCAGGAGGTTTGTCAACTTCGTTCCGATGGAAGGTGCACTCACGATGCGAAGACAAAGCGACTGTGTTACAACCGTATTTCCGACCTACTCTTCGACGCAAGACTTCCCCAGCCAGACCTCTGCAGGAGCCTGCTGTCAAATCATCCAAAATCTCCACCGAGTGCCCAGGCAACGAATGCTCCATATGCCTCAACCCCGAGCTGCCACAAGAGCCAAGAGGCCACATCAGCCAGAAGAGGAAGCTCCGCAGCCGCCATCGCCGCAACTGACGCGCCCGGGCCTTTGGAGTCCACCTTTTGGCAGTTTGAAACGGCACCCAGAATTCTCCACGGCTCTCGGGTTAGTGACCATGGCAACTGCTGAAGGACTGCTTTTGGAGCAGTTTGGTTTCGTGACTCTCGCAGCTTGGCAGACCAGCTGAGGATTATGTATTCGGAACGACACTGCATGCCCGGACAAGCTTGCAGGCTTCTGGCAAGTCTCCATCCAGGTTATCCAGCCAATCCGCTCAGAGTAACTCCCTCCGGAAACAGCCCCAAGCACCGACAGCCAACACGAAACAAGATCCATGGATACCCGCTTTGAGATCGGTGAGTACATTGCAATCGGGGGGAGGGGTGGAGGGGGGGCATGTGCTGCATTAGATAGGATCTTTGGGGCCCGTTCACATCTAGGTCACATGTCTCTGCCGGACTTGCAGGATGTGGAGCTACGGCATAGCACTGGGGGCATGCAGGCCTTGCAGATGGTTTTCAAGCCAGACCAGGTGTTTTACTGCAAATTTTAAAGGAGTCCGAGATCGACAAGGGCTCCGTTCAGGTGAAAGGGTATACCCTTGAATTTTGGGTACTGTGATTTGGATTTGACCTTTACACTATTCTTCACAACGGGCCAGCACTGGGCCTCAGATTTGCCTTAGGAGCGCCCTGGGCTTGGGGGCATGTGTTTTGCAAGGTCCGTCCTACTTCGGACTTTGACCAGATGTGGATAAGTTCGACTTTGTCGGTCCAGAGCTCGGCAGGTTAGGATGTAAGCAAGCTCACGTGAGGTTTTGTGCATTTACAAAGATGCCTGACAGGGCAGAACTGTCGGATTCAGTCGGCACTTCCGTTCTGGGTCTAGCATTCAGGCACCTCTCCCGAACAATGACTCGTCGTCGCTGCACCTGCAGCTCGAGAAGAACAATGATCTGTCCTTTTGAAAAGCTTGCGGCTGAGTTAATTTACACGCACTCGGGAATACTAGGCGAGGTTAAGTAACAACGACAGTCAGAAGAGTAAGATATGATTCAGGCTGTCATACGGGCCCACACACCTCCGACTAGTCATCGTCCATGCCGAATAAGTTCTGATGCTATGATGTGTCCTTATCTTGCAGTTTCGACACTCACTCTCGGACAAGGCCAGGCAAGGCCTGAAGACAGGACGTACGAAGACCCGAGAGGTAGGTTAGATTAAGTTAGGGTCGAAGGTTGAAGACAGGATGTGCAGATCGATCCCCACTTGTCGCAGCCAAATCTTTCAGACCGTCTGCTTCCAAGTTACAATAAGAATGCTGACAGTAATGGTGCGCCTATCAGCATCGGCACCTAACCGAGCAGACCAGACCCGGGTATCAACAATCACAACACGAAGGCTGAAAAATGCAAGTGGTAGGAACACTGACAAAAAAACATCCTGAAAATAACATAACATGACCATTGGTCACAACGAACGTCATCCCGATCTTCATTTTCAGGGAGCACCAGGGCCATCAATACAATGAGCACGTCCCCCAAGCAGGCCGAGAGGAGACCTGGTGATTTTCGTCTCTGTGATAGCTTGCAACGGGCTCAGACAAACGAGGTCTCAGAGTTCGCAACCCGGTAGGCAGGAGGCCTAACTTCAGGCTTTTTGCATAGGACATGTGCACTCAGATCCACCCCAAAGCACATTTTTTGTAAACCTTTGAACCGACCAACCCAGGACCCCCCAACACGGGCATCCGAAAAGCATTTCATTTGGATCGCTAAATCACATCTAAAAATCCGGAAAGCCCAGGCCCGAGACCGACAATTTCAAGCTTTGGCGAGATGCCGATGATTGTGGCACGCCAAATGCGCTCCGCCTAAGTTGCTTTAAGCTAGGTCGGTTTCTTGGGGCTGGACGGACGACTTGTAGGTTTAAAGGTGTAGGGTGCAAGCTGGATTGTTTCACAACAATGCATTTGCAGGCTAGCGGAGAACAGCAACATGCTCGAGTGCAAGGATCCACGCGCTCATACTCGGACACGCCAGATGAGGCTCAAAGGTAGCAGTGGGGGCCAACAAAAGGCATGCAGGGGTTCCGCTGTGGCTTCCAGCCCAACACGAAAACAGAACCGAATCCAAACGACCACAGTCAACCATTTTCGCTGACCACACGGCAGGCGGCCAACATGCAGCCTTTTCAAGGAACCATTTTTAATTCGAAATTGACGGTCGTAGCGTTGGCTATGTGACTGCTCCTGTACCATCGTGGTGGCTCGACCACAGCGTCACAGCGCCATAGCAGCTTTACATTTGGATTAGTTTTGGATTGCTGATGATCCAAAACTGATTCTTTGGACTCATTCGTTGCTTCCCCGTCCGGGGTCGCAGGGTGTGCAACCTGCCGCGTATCAAAACGAGCTTCTCATCCATCGTAGCCAGTTCACCAGAAGTGAAACTAACGAATTTGCCTCAAACGCTCGTATGTAGAGGACTGACGACTACAGACGGGAATCACAAAAGGCCAGGCACACAAATTTGTCAGACAGGCCGTAGTGTCGTTAAAGTCTGTCTGCCCACTGATGCAAGGCAACCACTAGGCAACCACAAGGACCCTGGCCTGGGTTCAGGCTTAGGTTGGACAGACAGAATCCGATATGTTCTTTTGAAAGCATCGCCGAGCATCGAAGGTTTCCGGCACACAGCCGTCATCAGAACTCCCGGACCTTTGCTGCTATCAATGCCAAACATGACTCAAGCAATGAATGGATATCAATACTGGAAGTAGTACTACCGCAAACAACACCACCACCACCACCACCACCACGACTCACTTGGCACATCCATGACAGCACTGCGACTGAGTCCTAGTACTAGTACTAGTCCTAGTACTAGTACTAGTCCTAGTGCTAGTACTAGTACGAGTATTGGTACTAGTACGAGTACAAGTACTAACTTGTACTAATAGTATTAGTAGTCGTGGTCGTCCTCCTCGCCGTCGTCGTGGTGATGGCGGTGGTGGTAGCAGCAGCAGCAGCAGCAGCAGCAGCCCGAAATAATCACCATAAGAATCGATGATTAAGCTGCAACAACGTTGATCAGCCACAGCAGGCGCAGCATCTTGAGTCAAAAGACGACCTATAGCGGAAGTACTCGAGCAACAACCAACCACAACAACAGCTTCAGCATCGTCGGCATCATCATCATCATCATCAGATCATCATCATCATCATCATCGTCAAGACGATGAAAGGCCTGGGACAAGAATTTGGGATCATGTGGCTTGCGAAACACCAACTTGCCCTGCCAGAGCACCAATCACCACAACAAAAAACTCCTGCATCCGAGCGACATGGCTGATCCGGAGAAGAAAAGCGCGTTCAGTGCTGCCGCAGAAATCAGCTTGAGGATGAGAAGGGCCTTTTGTCAAGCTCAGGCTTGGAACTTCAAGTCTTAAGGTCTGGGATCTTCCGGTCTCGACATTTGAGCCTTTCAAGGTCTAGCTGCTTGAATTTCGATGTTTACGAGTTTACGGCTTGGTGGCTTAGGGTCTCGCGCTCTAGGTTGCCTATACAAGTTCTTCGTCGCGCTGGGTAGAAGCTTTCAAACTCCAAAGGACGCAATTCCTAGACCCGTCCACCTGAAAAAACCCCTGAACCGCAGCACCAGGCATGAGATGCTGCGAGGAGCCGCGCGGATGGTGTGGGAGCGGAAGAGGCTCACAAACCTCTGCTGTTCGGATCTCAAGACTTCCTAGGCCTGTTGGTCTCTGTTGGCTCTGTGTTGACACTTGGAGGTAGCATCATGGAAACACATAGCGTAAAAGCTATCGTTGTGGTAGCGAATCCTTTTTCAATCCGGGCTCCGCATGTGTGCCGGAAGCCACCGAAGCCACTCTCCGAGCAAGCACGCTAAGGACATCTTGCATAAACTCAGCCGAAGTCATAGTCGCAGTCCGTCCGAGCGTTGTCTTCACTGCTTGCTCAAGCGCGCCGCCAGTTTTATCATTCCTCAGACCCGTCATCTCAATGCTGTTCGCTCCGTGCACGCTGCTGAAATGAGTCCGCCTCTGCAGGCTGCAGAGTCCTACCGGGAGGGCCAGGGCATGGAGTTGACGCGACCAGGTGTTCACCCATCCCGGCGTCATCTTGCATCGATGCAAGTTCTTGGTATGCTGCATGATCGTTCCGAACATAGCGCTGCAGACTTGGGGAAGGCAGCAAAACTTTCTTCACGCATCGGAATTTCAGATGGTTCGGATAATATCGGCATGGGCCTTCAACCGGGTACCGGAACAGGGCAACTCAACTGTATTGGCAGAGACCGACAAAGCTACATGCTCGCACACAACCTGCCGATAGCACAGCAAGCCCGACCGAGAGTTCGGCCGAGGCAAAAAGAAAACTACGGGAGCTGGATCCACGAGCACCCGTGGCAAGGAACTCACTGAAGATATCACCGTCGTGGCATCAAGTGTCACATCTTGGCTGCCGGGGGGGCAACTGCACCGGAAAAGCAAGCTCAGCGAGTTCGGCAGGGCTGGTGGCAAGCCGTCATCATCACCGGAACACGCGCATGACTCGGGAGAGGGCAACAAGAACGGCTTGCATCTGCAAGCCAGCCAGCAGCCACGAGCTCCGAGCTTGAGTGCAAGTCGAGAACACTGTCGTTTCTCTTGCACAGGTCCCCAAAATGTGTGATTGCACCTTCCCTGGAAAGCCAAAGTGGGTCAGCATGCGGTTGCTCCCAGTGCTTATCACGATGGGTGGACTGCATCGCCACATAATAATGAGCACATGCGATAGGCGGCGAACGAGCTGGTTTTGTGGCTTTTCATTATTACAGCAGAGGAAATATGCAAGGGCGCATCCTGATCATTCAAAGATGTGGGGGACAGGTGCGTCGTTGCGCGACTCGCCACGCCTCGTCTAGACAGTCTCAGGATGTGCTGAGGTTCCACATGCTCCACTTTGTGGCACGGTTGGTGCTCCATGTTACTATCGGGTGCATGCCAAAGCCATGGCCAACAGTCGCATCTTGCTCATATCTTCAACATTCGCGGATGCTGCCATGGGTTCGACAAGGTGAGATGTTCAGCGAGAAGGATTTCCGGTTCAGGGGGCGGCCGGGCAGCAACCCATGCTTCCATAGTGTTGCTCACCCATGAAGGTAAGCAATAGACGTTCAGCACCAAGAGCAGACAACAGGGGCCAATCGGAAACGATGCGCAAACACACTTCTTTCTGCGCGTTGCTGAGAAGAGCAGCACCGACCATGAAAGTAACTGCGGCGCTGTAGAGTTGTTCGGGCTAGTCTTGCGCGTAGAAACACGGGTCATGGCCCATGCATGGTGCCGATGACATTCTCACCAACCCTTCGAATCTCCAGAAGCACCCCTTCATGTTTCGCCCTGGAAACACCTCTGCGAAACAAAGCTGTTGAATTTCCGTAGAGCCGAACCATGAAGAGCCGGCCCTACATCAGACCCGGCCCAGGTACGTCTAAGCAGAACTCTGAAAAAATGCACCTCTAGCCCTCTCAACCTTAAGATTAACGATATTCTCCAAGGCGAGCTTCTGCAGGGCGATCCACGGATGCTTGGCCCGCATTAAAAGAAGAACTCGCAGCCTGGGATCCGAGGATTTTTCGGCCCAGGGTTCCGGGTTTCGAGATCCGGGCACACTCGGACATGCCTGGCGAGGTTCTTGATGCATTATCGGGGTGAAAGCTACTTCACGCTCTCAAAACTCGAACATGCCTGACGAGGTCTCGCGGTTCGCAGTCGGACTACCACGGGGTTGTGGAAGGGGTTTACGGTTTACGCTCTCACAACTCGGACAAGCCAGGCGAGTTTACGGTTTAGGGTCCTTTCTTGGGTTGAAGGGGGCCCCAAACGCGGGATGTGGAGAGCATGGGCCTGGCACTTGGTGTTTCGCTTGCCATACAGCTTCGCCGGAGCATTTCTTCTGTGGAACAACGCTGGTTGCCCTCGCATGACCTGCAGTGACTACCCAACTAACGGCTGGTTGCAGTACAACTTGTCCTGCCGATACCCGCAAACTGACAGTTGGCATTCCGAGCGCTAGATTGTGAACCCGGGTTCCATACCTCTCAAAAAAGCACACGAAATCCTCGAGCTGCCAAGCTGCACAAACGGGCTGGAAAGAAACTGCCTGGCGGCGAACGCCTTCTTTCCTTGGTCATCCAGGCTCTATTCCATGATCCTCTCCTTTGATTTTGCGACCTCGAAATGCTCATCACTCCGCCAAAACATCATAAGCAAATCATAACACTTCTTTTCTTATCGGCCTGCATGCGACGGCGCCTCAGCGAACTGCATGGCTAGCTCAGAAATATGGCTGGACTGCGCATTGATCTTGTGGCATCTTGTGGCCGCCTGGCTGGGGACTGTGGCCCTCGGAGCTTAACCTCTCGACCTGGGTTCTTGCCGCCCACGGCAGTGCAACTCGCAGGACCAGTGCTCGCCAGGCTTCGACCATGGTCTACCTTTTCATTCATGTGAACGAAATCCCGAACGGTGACGGACAGTGCAGATGTCTCCCAGTGTCGCACATTCCTTGGCTTATCACCATGCCCCAGGCACAACTCCGAGGACCCTTGCCAAAAACAATAGAGCAGCTTGTGTCCCTCTCAAACGTCTACTGTATAACTCCGAAAATAGACTTCAACTCAATGTTGTCAGAAGTTAGGTCCACCCTGAGTTGAAACCTCAGGAACTCAGGAACGCGGACCACGAATCAAAGCCGAGTAACGTCTCGCCGATGTCAGTCTCCGCGGCGCGAATGCTCTGCCAGTCAGCTTGGCTGGCGTAAGCGTAGATGGCGGAGATGCAGCGATGGACGAAAACCTCCTGGTTCAGATGAAAGCCGACGGGAAGTTCATTTCCGTCAGTTTCACAAAGCGTGTCCGCATTGCTTGCATAACTCTCGCTGGCTGTCACGTGTTTCCACTACCGTTTCTGACCACAAGCACTTATGATGATGCAAAATGGCCCGGCATTGGTGTGCCAGTGAAACACGTACTCCTAGCGGTTTCCTAGCACTCGGGGCAGCAGGAATGCCAGTTTGGGTAGGCTGGCTGCTGGCACAGCGTCACTTGCCAGCAACGCAGTACTAATTCTATGCTCGCGACTGGATTTTCAACTGCATGTTTCAATTGACAGCGAGCAGCACCACCCGTAGTATGTCTAAAGCGAACTGGCGCTTTGCTGCCATGTCGGTGTTTCTCGTGTCTCGCCCGGAGCTCGTACTATCTGTGGCCTGAACCGCCAGAATCTACTACTGACTGCACACTGGCAGCCCAAGCGTACGCAATTATACTTATTAATTATCATATCCTCCAGGTCTAAATCCTTGCCCGCCCAAAACTCGAGACCTTCTGCCCCCAGGAAGGAACCCAAACCCCTGAGAATCTCTCCTTGGCATTTAGGAGCTCCGCCAGCAAGTCAGCTTCGGGCGTTTCGAACATCACGGCGAGGCACCTGGAGTTAGGTTTCCTGGTTCCAGCATCGCAAGCGCCGCAGGTCTCCAAGTGCAGCAAGTGGCCCAAAGGAGCAAGGCTACATGCTCCGATTGCTGCATCTTCACCAATGCCGAAGACTTACCAAATGCACTCAAGCAGACTTTCACTGCTTGGAGAACCGGGTGAGAGCGCATTCCAGAGGGCCCTGGGTTGCCTAGTTCAGGTACGGGCAAAAGTGAGAGTCGCAACATGCCATAGGAACAAGGCATGCATCTCGCTTCTTTAGGACATCGGGGCTTGCTTCGCAATGATCTCGTTTCCCACAAAACCATGTAAAAACCCTAGGCCCTGTACAAACACCACTGCAACCTTGTGCCTTAAGGCAAGCGGCCAAGTGCAGTTGGCGCAGGTGAAAGCTGCAACCTCGGCTGGTACTACCCAAAGTTTCCATGCCACCCGCCTAGCTGACAGAGTCACATTGCAGAGTGTGTACCGTTGGGATCCTGGTGTAGGAATGCAGCTGTGCCGCAAGCACGCAAAGACTTCTTGCACCGGGTTCGTGCAAGCTGCTACGGCAGAGTGTCAGCACAATCTGTGGCTTTATGGTTTCTACCATAGGGCATCGACATGGCTCATTCGACTACCAGTGACAGCTTGACGGTTTGCTCTCAAGGCCCTCTGCAACATGGATTCGTGAAGTTGCGGGATTGGGTTTAGAGTATGGCTAGGTTCAAGTTTCCCGAACCGGAACCCCAACCACGCAACACGCTGCCAGAACCATCCACCTGCCTCTCCATCGCCCCCAAGCTCCTTCCTCCATCAAAGCCTTGACGCCCACGGTCCTACTCGTTCTGTTTTGCACCCTGGAACGTTCCTCAAAACCGCGATTCTCCGCATGCCCTCCACGGAATGAATAGCATCACGAGCCTCAGCACGGTGCGACCCTAAGCACGTCGCTGCAAGGCTCAGACCCCTTCTTGCAGGTAACCAAGTTCCAGGCCAGCGGCCAGCACTTTGTGAAGTTTGTGTGGTTTCGGACGTTTATAAAGGTTGTACTAGTGAGGTGTTGGTTGAAAGCACGTTAGCCCAGATGCCCTGTGGCACCAGCCTGGCTCTGCCTGTGCCATGGAGCTTTGGGGCTTTGGGCTTCCGGGGTGTAAGGTGAAATGCTGTGGACTCACAGAGACTCCATCCTACCGTCATGCAGTCCCTTACGGGGTGTCTGTTGATTGGGGGATTCAGGTCTCGCAGGAAGCTCCGACACGAAACGTTGACGTGCGGGCAGGCATTTGCTGCAGCTTCGTGCTTCAGGAATACACCCGCCCAATTCAAGAGGCCCATGCCAGGGTTCGGCTGCAGTGCCCGGATGTAGTTCACACCTCTGAAGCCGATAGCCCGGAAGATATCGGAAAGCAACTGTGGCATATCACAATAGCTCATCACCCTCCCGAAGACAAATCCGGAGCCTCCTAACCACGAGTGTCGCCTGAACCTGAAACCTGCCAAACACCCTCTACCGACAGTCTCACCTGGTCCTTCGCCGCCACCGGCTCCTCTGCATCCTCCTCAGTTTCATGCTTGCTTCGCACGGGCGCGGGGTTCAAGACTCTACAAGTTTGCTTTTTCGTTGAACTCCACGGTGTTCTACGCCCCGGACATCATGGATGCCTCCGGTAGCGAATTTTGCTCTCCGAGTCTCATCTACAAGTCTACAACTGCTAAGCTGCCGATGCACCCGAGACGCTTCGGACCAGCAACCTCCTCCGTTCTTTGAAGCGTTGAAAGTTTCGGGGCAGCGCGAGAAGCCCAAAGGTGCCCAAACGAACACGCAGACTCCTCGAAAGGCCCCATGAAACGCGAGAGTAGCCCAAGATGATAGGATAGGACTCGGAGACTCTGGGGCAAAGGAGTCACCTGATTTGGGCTCGAAGACCCGTGGACTTGAACTTTCTTCGGAGTGGAAGGCCGTCACACTGCCCGACGGTAAGCCCGTCCAAGTCTTCAGAGCTTCGAGGCCAGACGTCTTTGGAATGCGTTTTGTTTCACGTGTGAACCACGCTTCGCCAAAGGAAGCCTCGCATTAGCCGAGTCAATTCCGCGATCCGAGTGCAGGTCGCCATCCTCTGATCGAAAGTTGCTGCCAGGAATCCTCGTGAACGTCATCGTAGGCCTCCTCACAATCCTGAGGTAGAAATGGTCGTGGCATTTTTTCTTTGCAAACTCGATATGAAGGAGACTCTATCTGTCTAGATATGCATACATGTTGCAAGAGAGTGTCTTTTTTGCCTCCTGCATTGCTAGGTCAAGCAGCGTGGGCAGGGAACATACTACCTCCAAAGAAGAAAGCAGACATCGACAACATCATACCGTCAGGAAGCTGCACAGGATGAAATTACATGCCTTGACTTGCAAGATGCTTCGAATATTGGATCCTTTGCGCCATGCCAAAGTGTGAGGAGCCCCGACTCTGTCCCGCCCGGTGACCGGAGGTGGGCACATGCTAAGAAGGCTAAGGAAGGCAGCCACAGTATGACCCAGTCATTTGGTAGGACATGTAGAGTTTGGGATTGGAAGAGCTTCACCTCTATCCCACCAAAGAAACGGCTTCGGGCTCGGCTAAGTTGGAATATTGCACAAGCATGTTTGTCGGTAGCAAGAGGTGTCGCGACGCCTCTTGCAGTGCTGCAACGATCTGAAATTCAAGGGCCCTTGCTGTTTTGGGATCGTTTGTGTGAGCCTTAGTGGCATCTAGGTCTGACATGAGGGAGGCAACCAACAGCCTCGAAGAGGGGCGGAAGGGTGTGGTGTGGAGACTCTTTAGCTCAACAGAACAACGACCCTGTACCTGATTCGCAGAGTTGGGGGGAAAGGATTTTCCAAGTGAGTGCCTGGAGGCTTCGTGCCCTGCAGGGCCGAGCAGCCCCTTCAGACTGCTATGTGCCTGCGCCGATTGCCCCCTAAGCAAGCTGAAGCGAGATGATTGAAGTTCATCCAGAAGTCTGGTTTTCCCTCCACCAGCAAAGACGTCTCCAGATTTCTCCTGGCGGTTCGTGGGCCGCAGAGTGGAGACTCCGGGTCACTGTAAACCCATCTGTCGGTTTCAGACGTTGGCGGCTCCACCTCCACCCTCTATGAAGTCATCGACGGCCTAAACCCACAAGCAGACATCCCCTGCACCCAAACCGAAGCCAGCGCCCGTCCGCGAGGTGAAGCGCTTCCGATCGAGGCGAAAAGCATAGATCAGGAGCAAGAGGAAGATGCCAAGGGCCTGGTGCGGCGTCGAGGCTTGCCCTTTCATTCCTTGCAAGCTAATTTCCGGTTGCATGTTATTACTGTGGCACACCTGCTTGATATTCTCACCAGCTGCCAGAAAAAATCGCAAAACAATTGCCACAGGTGGGCAATCACTGAAACCGGCCCTTGTCTTCGGGAATTCGTGAGATCTTCCGCTGAAAGTCTGGTATCTCTGGCTCTCGCATGGCAATGTCCGAAGACTCCGTGTGGCAGGTTGGTACGATGATAGAAAGGTTATTGAACGCCCTCAGCATGAAGACCAGGCAGGCTGTGCACTTGCTTATGCCCCTTGTGTAGACGAATAACACTTCCCATGCATGCTGAAAGAGGCAGACTCCTCGAACGCACAAGCGGGCCTACAGCCCTGCCCCTAAGGCACACGTAGCGCACAGGCTTTTCTGCTTGCAAGAGCCCAACCCTTCGGTCAGCGAACAGTCCAGACGTGTCATGCAAGGAAAGACATGCAATGCGAAACCTCATGGTAAACTTGACACCGCTCCTTCTGACATGGCCGTAAAACTCCTGAGGTTTTGCATCAGTCCTTCGTCTTCCACTGGCTCCTCAACTTCGTCGAAGAGCTGCGGAAGATCACTTTGCCTAGCCAAAGCACTCAAAGCGGTCAGGAAACACTCGACGTTCTCGGGAAACCTTGTGAAGCTTCTTGCCTGCCGTAAAGGACTCGTCATGAACGATGCTCCATCGCTGGCGGTTCACAAAGAAATTCAGCAGATCTTTCTTGTTCCCGGCTTTGGTCAAGCCATCGGCGAGCATCGCTAGGCCGTTCACCCATCGCAAGTGGGTCCGCAGTTTCAGAGCTTGTTGGACTGCAATCACCAGCTCGTAACCAGCGCGGGATGATCTTAAGCCATGCAATGAACTCAAGTTCCGCGTCATAGCGTCGAAGACGCCACGGCTATCCATCATCAACCCACCGGTTGTGTTATGAGCCAGATCATGTTCGAGACGTCCTCTCGCAACTTGCCCACCATGTAGCTCGAACCACACTGCTCTCAGGAGGAACACTACATCTTCGCCCACTGTAATCGCTTGCACTTCTGATCCATTGGATCCTAGACTGCCCCGAGGGGCTTTCGTGGATCTCCATGAGACAAGGGCAACGTGTTCTTCCTCGCCGTCCAGTATGGACCGAGGTGCATACCCTGCCACATATCCGATCGTGCTAGCTTTCTTCGGGCGGTTGCCTTGTGAGGCATCTGCCCACACGACTGTAGCAATGCTCCTCCACTCAAGGTTCCAGAACGGGAACCACAGCTGCTGAGAGGCTTCGCGTCGCACCTCTCTGACAAGCTTGTTCACTAAGTTCGCCGTGTGCACGGTAGCTCCTGGAACCGAAGACAGAAGTAGCGACACCTCCGCTTGGTGGTGCGGTCCCGTTTGGGACGCCTTCCAGGAAAGAGTTCCCAAAACAGCTCGCAGCTGAGAGATCTCCTTGGAGGTGAGAGCACTCTTGCTCTGCAGCGCTCTCTGCTTCGTCATGGGAATCTCCTCGAGCCATTTGTTCACATAGTCCTCCTGGTCCACGTAGATGCCGGCTTCTGACGCAGATGACACCCGGCAAACTCAAAGTCTGTGTCACACCACTTTCCGAACTTGAACTTTGCCTGGAGCTTCCGCTTCGCCTCCTCGTACTTCTGGTGACCTGGCTGTCCACAGATCAGGAAGTCATCCACATGGATGCCCACTAAGGCGATGAGCTCCTGGGTTCCATCATCGTACAGGCAGAAGAGGCATCTGTCCACCTTTGTCTGCTTCCAGCCCGTCTGCAGCAAAACTTCCACCACAGACTCGTGCCACTTGCGTGGCGCGTGGACCAAACCGTAGAAGGCTTTTGTGAGCTTAAGCACTGTCTCCTCGCCGGGCTCTGCTCCGAAGAGCGCAGCCAGCTCTGCAGGAGCCCAGACAAACAACTGCTCGTCCTCCAAACTGTCCATTGTTTGAAGAAATGCAGATGTCACGTCGCCCGATTCCAGCTTAAAGCCCTTGTTCGCAGCTGCAGCAAATAACGCATATCTGCCGGTGCGGCTCAGCGTTGGCGCTGCAGTTTGCACTGTTGTCAAGTTGTGCTGCTGAAATCCAAGGACAACCAGTCTGGCCTTGGCAGTGCCACTGTTCTTTCGGGTCAACACCCACCTCATCTTCATCACCTTGGAGTAGTCCAGGCCCTTGGTCTCGGACATGGCCAGCGCACGGACAGCGGCCGAGGAGAGCACATTGCTCAATTCGACTGCTTGCGCTTCGTCAAACTCCAACTTTTCCTCGTAAGACAGCTTCTGCCACGAAACTTCTTTTGATTTCTCAGCCATTTTCTGTGACATCCAAATCGCTGCCTTCTTAGGCTTCCGGAGTAGCTTGGAGAGGTCCTTTTCGTTGACATCCATGGTGCACGTAACAGCCAGCATGTTCTCCTGTACGCCCTTGCGGGAGAGCTCGGTCTCAGCCTTGCGCTTGCGCTCCGTCGGAGGAGCTCTGTCAGGGACCAGCTCTTCCTCAGAAGAACTGCTAGAGCTACTGTCACTGCTGCTCTCGTAAGCGGCCGATCGGGCAGCTTCTTCCTCCAAGTCTGGTGGCAGCGGCACTCTTGCCGCCAACTGTCCCGGAGTTCCCGGCACAGCCCCAGGAGTAGAAGGAACTGCAGCCTCAGGAGGAGGTTCCACAGCTGACGCAGGGGCATCCGAGGCCTCCACGGTGGGGGCTCTCACAGGCTCAGATGGAGCGGAACTCTGCGAAGGCTCGCCCTTGAGCTCGAAGTGTGTCTCGCCAGTCCACCGCTCAAGAAGACCTCTGTTTGGCTTGCCCTCAGACTTGTAGTCATCCTCGATGAGCTGCTGCTTTGTTCCACCAGTGGCTTGCACAAACGTGCGGCGCTTGCCTGTGAAGGAAGATTCCCGCACAGGGCATTCTTGAACCTTGTCCGGAGTGAAGAGAGTCAGCCGAGGCGTCCCGTGGATTCTCACCAGGGTGTCTCCACGCCTCTCCCATTTATCGCGCACTGTCTTCTTCCGGCTGGCGTCAGGCTCGACGCGGACCTCTGCAGGGGTCACGTCCTCTTCCAGGGCTTGTCCCGGAGTCTCCTGCGAGGCGTCGACGTAATGACGCCCAGTGTAGCCACGAAGAAGGGTGGACATGGTCACGGGATTCTTGATCACTGACATGCCCTTGGTGGAGTGCACAATTTCCTCTCTCTTGGAACAAGGTCGGACCTGGTTCGTCTTGGCCCCGTATGATTGTCGCGCCCGTCGCAAGCCACACTGTCGATCCTTCCTGCAACAGCACCCGAAGCGGCCCAGTCCAGCCTCCTTTTCCTTGGCGGATTCTTTGCCTCCAAAGCATCACAAGTCCACCAGCTTGATACTGGACAGCCTTTCGCTGCACAGCATTGTTGAGGCGTGAGAGTTTCTCTGCGGCGTCGGACTTCACGAAAGCGGCACGAGCCTTCTCTCGGAAGGCCAGCATGCGAGAGAACGCACGCTTCGGATTGATGCCATCCGGGAGGGATTCGATCTCGTCCTTTTGCCAGCCGTGAGTCCACTGAAAAGGGGTAAATCCACTGGCATTCAGAGAAGAATTTGCACCATGCACGGCCAATGCGAAAATCTCTTCAATGGATAGGCCCAGTGACTCCTTTTCCAGCCGCGCGGCCGTACGCTTCAGAGTTTGAATCCGTCGCTCCTCTTGGCCAACCAGCCAGTGAGCTTCAGCTGGCGCCGTCATCAAGCCAATTCCGCTGCGAGAGCAGAAATCTGCCATCTCAGTCGACACAAAATAAGGAGCTGAGTCTGTAATAATCCAGACAGGAGCGGGATTGGTCGCGAGCCAGCCGGTGACTAATGCTGACTTCACCTCCCCAGTGGTGGGTTCCCAATTTTCCACGGCCGGATAAGTTTTCAGCAACTTGGTCATACAATAACGGCTCGCTCTGTCCTGAAACAAGAGAAATTTGGCCTTCATCTTTGTGCCGCCAGCCTCGTATTCGTATTCAAAGACGTCTAGTCCGAGTGTTTCCCACAGCGAGGGCTGCTCCTCAGTAGAAGCAGGCGGGACTGGAGAGATGCGTCGACTCTCCTCGCAGTCGTCGCACTTCAAGCTTCTCGCCAATTCAGATGCCCAACGTGCTGCGCCACGTTTCTCTAAAAGCCGAGCTAGCAATTCCATGCTACTATGTCCTGCAGCACGATGCATCCGAAGGAGGGCACTCTTTACTTCCTCAAGCTTGCGGCCAGTAGGCTTCTCAGGTGGAAGCGTCATCCGCTGCAAAGGTAGAAGGTCACGAGCGGAAGAAACACCCCCACGAGGATCACCATCTTGGTCAGTCACCGTATTGGACAGGTCTGCTTTGGTGTTGATCTGGTCTGCTTTGGTGTTGATCTGGTCTGCTTTGGTGTTGATCTGGTCTGCTTTGGTGTCGATCTGGTTTGCTTTGGCGTCGATCTGGTGTGTCATGACGCTGACCTGGTTGGTCTCGTCCTTGGACACTTCGCCTGCAAGGTAGTTCTCCACGTCGTCGCGCAAGGACCCGTGACGAAATCGCAGGTCCCAGCTCACCGCGTCCACAATATCCCGAATCATGGCCTCGGGGATCGCGGTTGCCTTGACATCGCGGTCGCCATGTGCTCGGTGCCCTGGGCAAACACGTCGCCCAAGCTTGTAGTAGAGCTGCTTCACGTTGGTCAGGATTTCCCAACGCTCCGGTGAAGGCGCAGGCCCTCGATCATAGCAGCATCCATCCACCACGCACTCGTACACATCCACATGGCAATCTTGAGCAGCTCCTTTGATAGCGGCCACGGCCCGGCCTTTCCACGCTTGGGAGTCGGCACGACCCATCCAAGCAAAGTGTTTCCCAGCTTGAATCCGGGCAACCACCGCTTCAGCTGCTTGCTCGGCTGCTGCCAAATCACGCCGCCGAGCTCGAACCACATTTCTCCATTGATTGGGCGCCATGGCCTTGTCCATCCACAGCAGCCTCTGGTCTGGGAGGTTCACCCAGAGCAACTTGGGTCCGCAGCGGCCACCTTCACGTTCATCTTCTTGATGTCCTCGACGTTGTCCAGGTGATAGCCCTGTGCCACGGTTGCGGTTTCGCAAAGGAGGCCTTCGTCACGAAAGGCCGGTGACAAAGTGTCGGAACCAAATTCAAACACGTCCAATGAATTCGAGGTCAATGCCAGCAACGACACTGCTATACAAAGAGCACTAGCCACGAGCTTCCGGGACTCGTGTTGCATGCGCTTGCGGCATGCCTGAGTGATACCCTGGCGTTCCGGGAGTCCTCGAAGGTTCGGCTCCAAAGAGCCATCGTGGTGCAAGGATTGCATCGACAAACTCCCGGTGCGGCTGCTGCCGCCTGCCTTCACAGCTCTGTCTCGTGGTTGTCCCCGCTGGCATCCTCCAGTGGTGGCGCCCCGGACACACTCATGTTCTCCCAGCCGCCCTCCGAACTCGCCTGCTCCATCTCCTCGCGGACTCGGCTGCGAAGCTCCATCAACTTGCTCTCCAGGTACATGATCTGCTCGTTCGCCTCGGCCAGCTCGCCCTCCTTGTCCTCGAGCTTGTCCTTGAGCACCTTGGTCTCGATAGTTGAGCCGCCCTTGTTCACGGCCATCGGGGGCTTTGTGTCGCGAGCTGCCGGCCTGAACGCTGGAGTTGTTGATGGTGCCGCCGTCGATGGTCCTGGCTTCGTCGAGGGTGCCGCCTTCGATGTCATGGCTCGGCGGCTCTCGCATGTCGGTGGGTCCTCCTGCCGGTCCTGGCCCATCGTCTTCTTCAGAGGGATCGGCACACCAGCCAGTAGCGACCGGCTCTGCACCTCCATGATCTTGCCGCGGACCACCGTCTCGTTGACCATCCGGATCTCGCCGCGGTCGTACATCATCTCCAGCTCCTTCATGGCCTCCCGGGTCACCTCGATCGTTGGCCCAGCTGTGCGCCTCCCGCCGTGGCCCTTGGTCGCCACATAGGATGTCCTCAGGCCGCACCTCGGGCAGTCGGCCCATCGAGCAAACTGGTTGCCCTTCTCCTTGCCGTCCAGGTGTTTGCCGTGGCAGGGCCATCCGCTCACCCGAGGGTCGTCCAGAGGCGCCGGGACCTTCGCCATGTGACGCAGGGGAGAGCCGAAGTTGAAAAGCAGCTAGCCGGAGCTGTAGCGCCTTAATCCGGTGTGGCAACGAGGGAATCACAGGGTCACGCGCACCGGTCACATAGATCTCTTGAGAAGGTCTCGGGCATGCTTGGTGTTGTTCTAGAGGGGGTCGTGCATGATCAGGAGGGTGCTCAGGTTCAGCGCAACAACATTCACTGGCTTCAGAAAGACATGAAAACATGAACACGGAACTGCCTGGCTCACGAACTCCCTCAGCATGACCCACATGTTCAGCACTGACATGCCCTACAGCACACAACTCTCCACACGGCCCGGCTTCTTTTCCTGGACTGGGATCCGTCACCTGCTCGTAGCTGGCACTCCCGTCCAAGGCTTGAATGGCCCCAGGGGAGGAGAAAAGCTCAAAGAGTCGGGCCGCCTCGTTCGGAAGCGTCACACCATAGCGCTCCTCAGCCTGCTTCTTCAAAGACATCAGGTTGGTCGGCTCCAGAAAGGGGTCAAGCACCAAGTGCCCCGTCCTGGTCCGCTCCAGAGGGGAGCTCGTCACTTCTCCCGTCGGCTTCATGAGGAACAAGCTAAGGTGCTCATAGGAGATGCAGGCGCGGTGGTTGCGCAAGAACCTCGAGCCCACCAGCAGGGGAGTATCCTGGGCCCTCTGGGTCGTCCTTCTGCTGTCGCCGTCCAAGACATAGAACGAGATAGTGCCCAAGCTCGTGCAGCCAAGCACCACCTTGCTGGTCGCCTTGAGGGTGAGGCCGTCGCCGAAGCGGAAGACAGGTCGGTCCTCGAGGTCCACGTGCCGAAGGCGAACACCACGACCCCAGTGAAGAAGCTGTTGCACGGTGTTCACCCCCGCTGCATTCTCCGTGGCACCGGTGTCGAGGATGAACTTCGGGCACTCGCCTTGGCCGCGCGCCGGGGCGGCGCCAACTTGCATCACACCAATCGACTGCATCATGTAGAGCTCCATGTCGGTCGTGCCATTGGAGTTCGGGGGAATCGTCGCGGCCGGGTCGTCGAAAGCCTCCAGGGGGACATTCTCATTGAAGACATCCTGGGCCTCGTTCTCGTAGACACCCAGCTCCTTGCCAAAGCTGTTCCCAGCCAGGTGGCTCCGAATCGGGCGCCGGTCTCGTTCAAGGGCCTCCAAGGAAGCCTGCAGAGGGTCCACCGGCGCTATGGTCACGTTCTGGTTGGCCGGGTCCTGCTTCTCGTTGGCATAGAAGTCGGGCTTGCCATCCACGGTCTCCAGGGTGTAGAGGCCGAGGCCGAAGTAGTGCGCGGGGATCGTCTTCCCCTTGCCCTTTTGCTTGCTCTTGCCCTTGCCTTTTCCGAAGCGCGGCTTGCCCTTCGGCGGGCCCTTCTGCTGAAACATCGCTGCACCTTGGTGACGGTGGGGGCATTCGCGAAAGAAGTGGCCAGGCTGACCACATATCAGGCAACGGGCTGCTCCAGTGCCCTTGCCCTTGGAGCCTTGTCCGGCCCCCTTTCCGCCCAGAGGGTAGTAGCCACGGGCCGCCCTGACCTTGGCCACGGGGTTCAGGTAGTCGTCGGCGGCCTCGTCGGTCCACCAGGTCGCCCGTTCTCGGTGTCGGTGGCGCCGTCCTTCAGAGGAATCGTCAGCAAAAGCTCGCAGGGCCTGGCGGATAACCTCGAAGTTGACCTTGTTGTTTGACAAGGTGAGCACCTGCTGGCGCTCTTGCACAGTGAGCCCCGCCCCTTTTAGCAGACGATAGCCACGCAACTCATCGCTGAAGAAATCCGGCGCAGCTGTCTCAGCAGCTGCCTTGGTACCACTGGACCTTGCCGCCGGAGAACTCGGAGCCTTGGGCCTTCGCGAAGGTGAGGAGCTCGGAGAGGCCTTCCTGAAATCAGGAAGGTCAGCAAACTCATCATCAGCAGCTGCTTCCTCGGCATCGTCTTGGGCCGGTGGCTCACCCGGCACCTTGTCAGACGATGCCACCGGTCGTCCTGCCAAGTCCCTGGACCGTCGCAAAGAAAGCTGAAGCTCGGAAAAACCTTCTTCCTCACGCACCAAAAACTCGGGGATGCTCTCATTGTCGCGCCTCCTCAGGTTGTTCCAGCGCTCAAGCTTCTGGAAGCTGTCCGGAATGGGCAGCGTCTGCAACGGGGAGTGGCGAAGCTTTTCCAAAAGAAGGTCTAGGCCCTTCTTGTTGAAGAACTGCTCGGGGTCCAGGTGCTTCACCACCGACTTGGCCGGTCCTGTCAGCCGGCCCCAAATCCTTGCTGCAGCGCCTGCCGCCTGCCTGTTCAGACTCTTTAAGAGTATGGCTGTACCACCGGCAGGCCGTCTCGAAGCTGGCAAAGCTGGAGGGATCGCCGTTCCAGGATGGAATGTCCTGCCCACGATCACCCTGGAATGCCGAAGAGGCCATCGCACGCAGAGCTTCAGCTGAACCGCACCAGCGGCTCCGCTGCCATGAAAGAGGCAGACTCCTCGAACGCACAAGCGGGCCTACAGCCCTGCTCCTAAGGCACACGTAGCGCACAGGCTTTTCTGCTTGCAAGAGCCCAACCCTTCGGTCAGCGAACAGTCCAGACGTGTCATGCAAGGAAAGACATGCAATGCGAAACCTCATGGTAAACTTGACACCGCTCCTTCTGACACATGCCGCTGCCTGGCTATATATATATATACACACACACATATATATATACACACACACACATCCAGTCTCACTTCTTCTTGCTGCAACCCAGAACAAGTTATACCAAGGAGCCTCTTCAAACCAAGCCCATGCGCTACGAACTAAAGCCTGACGAGCTGCGCTAAAGGTGATGATGGAGGAGGAGTAGTGGACCCAGGTGCTGCCGCCGAGGTTCCTGGGGCTTGACACCCTCTGTCACCAACACAACTTCAAGTAAACGTTCTAGCAGGGGGCCCTCCATGTCGCTCGGCTCGCTTCTGGCTACCACATGCGCTTGCCCGTTTCGGAAGAGGGAGTCACTCTGGATTGCTACTGAACTTAGCTGCCGTCTGGAACTATCATATTTCGACAGCTACATCAAACCTACATCACTTCCCGACATGGCGTGCATGCAGGAAGGACACCGTCACGGTATCCCAAATCCCTCTGGACTTCTACAGCCGGCTTCTACAGCTGTCAGAGACATGCACAACATCTGTAGGCGCTAGCCAAATTCGCACTGAAGCTTAGCACTAAAAGCTGACGATCTCTCGAGGCAAATGTAGCCGAAGCGCGTAAAGCCTTCTGGGGAAAAGATCTGCGCGGCGGTGGAGCACCGAAGAACATTCACGAAGGTGTCGAAGATGGCAGCGAAAACCTGCTTCTCTTGATGCTCCGTCCAGCTGAGGGCCCTTCCATGAGGCCGTGGGGTTTGCTACATGAGTCGGGCTGCAAGTTTGTTCTGACTTCGGAACCATTCTTGACAGGAATCTCTTCCGCTGCCTTCAGGCCCTGCAGCGAAGCCGACGGCTTAAACCAAGAGTAGTCCAAGAGTCTGTTGTGACTACCACGGCCCTTTTTGAGCTGGTGACCGCCTTTGGTACCTGGCGCCCCTGAGACTGGGCCCCCATGCCCTTCTTACCCAAGCTCCAGAGACCGATGCCAGCCTAATGGAGGTTGAGAACTGTCGGCTCCATGGCGCAAGATGCTTGGACTTTGACTCTCCGATGCACCCTGGAGTAAAGCTGCTTCTGGGGATCCTGGAACGAGGGGCTTGCGGAGCGAGAAAACGCCGCACGAAATCTTATCGCTGTCTTGAGACCTTTGAAGCGTTTATTTCGAAGCACAGACCACCAAACGGATTAAATACCAACTTTCGAACTCTCCACCCGGCAACCACGAAACCCAAAACCTACAAATTGGCTTTAAACCCCTCCCTGCACCCCAACCACCAACCTCAAATCATCTCAAATCCTAAGCCGTTATATTTTGCCTGGCTGTGCTATAAAAATGTGCCACTCAAGCCCCGGAACCTACATGAACCCACCAAACTCCACCAGGCGGCAGTGAGGTGGCTGGTTCGACAGAGGATCCCCTCTCCTTCCCAGCCCTCCACACGCTGCACTCCTCTGGTGGACCAGGTGCTCGCTGCCTCGTCCCAAAAAGCCTCGCTATTAAGGGCCAGGCAACAATCTTCGCAAGAGGCGATATCCGACTGAGAGTCACACTGCACATTCTGACGCCGGCTGTGGCTTTTCATGAGGCAGGCAAGAGAGCTCAAACCCACCGGTGGACATCGCGATGGGTGCTTTCATCTTGCTGGTGGTTACAGTGACAAAGCCTTGGTCCGTTGGACCTAGCATAAGTGTTGTTCCAGATGCTGTCTATCCGTTTCGACTTGCTTCCAGCAGCCGCTGAGTGCTTGGTCTACCAACACCTCTGTTTAAGCATCTAACTGAGGTGCCCTAGCAGCTTCATGTTCCGGGCTTTTCAACATTCGCAGAGCCTGAGAGAGTTTCCAATGTGTGGACATCTACATGAGTAGGTGGTATCTTGAGCACTTTCCTAAATGCTTTCCCGTGGACAGCATCTTAGCAGTTTCAAAACACGTGTCACCTGCACGGGTTCAATCGCCGTGACAACTCCAACCTTCCGTGCGAGGCAATATCCGCCAAACACCTCCGAACCTATGGTAGTAGTCGGCTCAGCAGAAATCAAACACTTCCTGGGTTTGAGAGACTTCCGAGTCTGTCTGAGGCAGCTGCCAGGTCTGACATGTGTCTATGCTTGGATATGCTGCATCGAGGATAGGCCGAGCGGCACAAATCGCTTGCCTCGGCTGGCACGGGCCATCTCAAATCCGAAGTTCTTGTTGGGACACCTTTCGTGTTTCCAGAAACCACCCAATTAATTACCGTCGGTACTTCTCCTGGGCCATTGGAATTGAATCGATGGAAGGAGCCTGAAAGATTTGGAGCTGCAAATGCAGCCCTCATGCCAGCCCAACGACGTAATGATCTCTCGCCGTCTTCTCGCCCTCTCTTCTCTTTAGAACTCAGAAGTCTGTGGTGGAATCGGGGAGCCTTGGCCTTGGAAGCTCCCAGGTTTCAGTCTGAAGCCATCGAGACTCAGAAACTCTCCAGGCAACCCGGGAACACTTTGATTTCACTCGGTGGCAGCAAGCAAATCGCATAGCCGTCTCATCACCATTTAAGCCCGAACAGTAGGGTTCCGAAATGCAAGTTAAAGATATCCGTGCCAAACTCCTGAGCCCAACAGCTCCATGCCGTAAATCCTCACTCCAAACCCAAACCCGGCACTGTAAAGCCGGTCAAGAACCTTTGGTTGGGGGGTGGAGGAGCTGGGGTTGGAGAGCTGGAGAGCTGGAGGGCTGGAGGTGGAGACAGGGTGGAGGGGCTCCTGGTTTGGGGAGCGGTCTTCTAACTAAACGCGAGCACGAGAGCAACTCCAAAGCTGAAAACGGTGATGGCTAAGTCGGAAGATGTACATCAGCGAAAATCTGTGAATAGCACATCCTAAACTCCAGGTTTGAGCTTTAAGACTTCGGAGAAGAAGCGTATTTGCGTCCGGGAGGTGAATCTCAATCGGCGCAGAGAGTGTAGGCATCGGAATCGCAGCACCTCAAGAGGAACGGTTTACGGCTCAGGGTCTATCGTTCTGTCGTTTCATGTGAATCCCAAAATCTCTGCATATCTCAACCCGAAACACCATCAAATCCCGAAACATCTGAAGTCGGAAAGCTCCAACTTCATCCTGGCCCCAAGCTGCTCAAATTCTGCCAAGAACCTCCGGCCCAGAAACACGCTATCCGATGCGCAGACTGAGACCCCAGCCGTCTGCGCCACGGAAGGTCACGCTGACCGGCCGGGAGACGAGCTGGCTCTGCGTCAAGTCCTGTGTCTGTTTCGCTGTCTGGCTCGCCCGCTTGCATGTATGTACGTCCATACGTAAACAAGGTAAACATAGAGAGAGAGAGAGGCCCGAGCTCGAGCGTCGTAGCGGTCACGTTGGGCCTGGGCCTCGTGGGCAGGGGTTCCCCCGACCACAGCCGTTTTCCCGGTCTGGCTCGGAGACGTGTCTTCATCAGTCCCACCCAGTCACTTGGTCTCAGGCGAGGTGATCTGGCTTATGGGAGACCACGGGCTCGAAAGGCTGCACCTCTCTCACTCTTCGTGGCTTTATTCCCTCTGCGCTGGTCCCCCTGCCCTCGTGGTAGGATGCTTGGCTGGCCCCCCCCCTTGGCACGTTGTGTCCCCTGAGGCGGGCTGCTGGCTCGCTCCCCCCATCTGGCATGTTTCTTCCAGCTCGGCAGGCGCAGTCTCTTCGGTTCCCTGCTGCTGCAGGGGAGCGTGGCTGTCTGCCCCCTTGCGATTGCTGCAGTGATTGCTGCTGCTGTGGGCGGCAGCGCTGCTTGAGGGTGTGACATGTGGCGGCTGCTGAGCGTCAAGCGGCTCTGGTGCTGGGCGGTGGCGGCTTGTTGCTGCCTTTGTGGAGGTGAGTGCTGTTGTGGCCCTGGGTCTTGGTCGGACGAGCTGCTGGATGCGGCTGCAGGGATGTGTTGCTGGGCGTGGGGTGGATGTAGGTGAGGTGGCTGACTGCCTTGCTGTAGTGGCTGGGCTGTGTTCCGTCTTTGCTCCTGGCTGTGGTTGCTCTGGTGGCGTTCGGTGAGGGATTGGGAGGCCTTCTTGAGGGTTGTAGGGGAAATTGCCCCCGTGCTGCTGTAGGGCGTAGGGGTCGGCCCTAGTTGTGGTAAGACGCTCCGACTTGGTAGGTGGAACACACTCTCTCTCTCTCTCTCTCTCCCTCTCCTCTTCTTCTTCTTCATCTTCATCATCTTCTTCTTCTTCGGGCGTAAGGGGCTCGGGAAACACACACACACTCTCTCTCTCTCTCTCTCGCTGTCTATCTCCCTCTTGCTTGCTTGCTTGCTTGCTTGCTTGCTTGCTTGCTTGCTTGCTAGGGGTGTGGGCTCCCGAACTCTCTCTCTCTCTCTCTCTATTTCTCTTTCTTTCTTTCTCTCTTCCCCTAACAGAGTTCAAAGCCCCGCTGGTTTCCGTGACTGAACGATTGTTGTTCTGCCTCGTCGGCGGAGTTTGGACTTTTGGTTCGTGCAAGGAAGGCAGGCAGAGCTTGAATTTCGCAGTTTCGTTGAATTTTGGTCCCGGCAGGCCACAACGACACCATGATCCTAAATCTTCGGGCCTCAAAGAACATAGTCCAGATTTTGGGCGTTCCGAAGCCTGACTGAAGAGGTTGTAACCGAAGACCGACAAACTCTCTGCCTGGCAACATCTTTCTGCTAATTCTGGCTCCACAAACGAACCGAAGGGCCTTGCGGAGAGTGTTGTCTATCTGAGCTCGAAAGGGCCTTGCTTCTTCAGCAATTCGGTGCGGCGCTACGTCCGCTAGCTGTCTTGCGAACAGATTTAGAGGTGCAACGTCAGGGAAATCTTCCAATTCAATCAACTGTCTCGCAGCAGAGCCAAACAGACACAAATGTGCTTTGCAAAGATCCCCTCTCCTCTGCCGCGGCATTGCCACCGAGCTCTGCCGCGAAATCCGTGTCGCCCACGGAGAAGCTGAGAATGACCAAGCCGTCCTGTTTACCATCAGCACGCTTTCGATTTCAGGGCTTGAAGTTACATGGGTGCAGGCTGTGGGCTGAGGGTTCTCCAGCGTGGCTTTAAGCTGCAACAGGGCTTCGGGCTTTCAGCTCAATTTCTGGGCTCACTGAAGTAAAAGCTCAAGAGTTCTTGGGGGCTCCAGAACCTTATGGCCCGAAACCTCACCAAGAAGCAGGACACAATCATCCCAAGCCGTACACTTAGCCGCAACAGCAGAACTGGCTGCGTTCCTGAAGTTAAATGAGACCAAAACATACAAAGACCATGTTCTTGAAAAAACCCAGAACTCCCATGGCCAAGGCCGAAACGCGTGCCACTCAAGCCGCAAGACACCCTG